CGAGGCCTCGGTGCTCGCCGGAAGATTGTCCACCTCGCGTAGTATGTCCTGTAAGTCCTGTAGGACATGTCCCAGACACGTGACATCACCGTACACTGCCATGTCGGTAGTGTTCGAGCCTGTGACCGAGGCCGGCGCGTCAGGACGCAGTCTGGCCCACGGGCTCCGCTGCACCGTTGGTGCACTGGAAGTAGTCATCCGCGGGACGGAAAGGTCAGCTGCGGGGGCAGGGATGTCGGGTCTTTTGCTCAGTCTTTTTAGTCGCGAAGCCATCCGAGCTCGGATTTTTGCCACCGGGTCCTGAATCGAATGCAGCTGATATAGGTCCGCTGTGGAGATGCGGCTGACATGGACAGGCTGGTTAAGTACGGAGCGTAGCTTGTGTGCATACCAACCTCGGAGATGCCGGGCTGTTTCCTCCGTGAGGCCGACTTCAGGAAGTCCTGTGACCAGAGTGGCCCATACGGTGGTGAACCAAACCTTCAACCTGGCCATTGGCCCTGCAGTTCTGCGGTTGTAAACAAATCGCTTGACCTGCTGGAGCTTTTTGGCAGCTTCCGCTATACGGAAGCGCAGCGTTTGCATTTCGAAATTCCCATAAGAGATTTGAATGCCCAGGTACTTGATTTGTGTTTCAAGTTTGTAGGCGGGGAAGGACTTGTGTTTGCCCAGTCGCCAGTGACGCTGGAGTTTGCCGTCTTGGTCGGGAAGCCAACAGGTGTGCTTCTGGAGCGTGGCCTCTGCCTCTCTGCCACCGAGTTTGACTAGAATGGCACATTTGGTTGGATTGACTCGCAGGCCTAGTTTCTCTACCTCCGACAAAAGCTGTAGGATCATTTTGTGAGCTGCGTCCACGTCCGCTTTGCTACGGATTGTGCGATGCATGGCAAAGTCATCGGCGTACCCAGTGAAGTATCTGCGGACATTGTCCCAGCCAAATGTGTCTATCAGCCTGTGCAGAAGACGGCCTGTTAGAACGGAAAACAATGTAGGGGCCAGCTTGCAGCCTTGTTTGATGCCGGTGGTGGTTTCCACATCCTGGTGCGCCCCTTGTGAATGGAGCCTGTACTTGGATCGATGATGCAGGCCATGTATCAGTTTTTGTAGGGAGGGATCTGCGCCTAGTTCATCAAGCAGAGACAAGATTTCGCTGCGGGATACAGTGTCGAATGCCTGTGATAGGTCTAGTGCAAAGGTAATGCCGCCTACTAGACCGACAGGACATTGTCCCCGCTGCTGATCCGCTCTGGTAAGGTTCGCAGTGCGACACAGTTGCCGAGCCTCTCTCAGGTGCTGTACCACTCGACTCTGAGCGTCGGAGAGACCCCGGCCCGGGAGGTATGCAAACTGAGGGAGAGGCTTCATGTATGGCAGCGTGAGAGGTTCCAGGAGTTCCTTAGCCGTTCCCGCCAGGCCTTTAGCATCCGGCCTGAGTATTCCCAGCGGTCTTAGCTGGGAAGGCTTGTCAGCCGGCTTGCCCGGTTTGGGGATCAAGCAGAGATCCGCTCGTGTCAGATCATCGTCTAGTGGCTGGTCCTGTGTCAGAGCAGAACAGTAATGTGAGAGCGCCTCGGATACCGGCTGTGCGCAGAGCTTCCAGGCTGCGGCTGGTGCTGCTCCTTTCGGAACTGCCTTTCCAGGTTTTATCGAAGCTATGTGTTTCGCCAGCTTGGTCTGCGGCAGTAGGGGCAGAAGTCCCGCGTCAGAAGGAAGCGGAGGGTGCGCTGCAAAGACCTTGGTGGCGTACTTGCCCAACTCTGCAAGTTCGTTTGCAGGGCTGAGTAGGAAACCGTTCGAATCCTTGAGCTGAGCCTTCAGAGCCGGTTTCCACGGGCGAAGATGCTTGAGAGTTTGGTATGCTAGGTGTTGGTCTCCCTGATTGAGAGCCTGGTCCACCTCGGCAAGGAACCGCTTGGTTTGAGCTTTGCGAGACTGCTTGACCGCCAGTTTGTGCTGGTCGTATAGCAGTTGACGGGCAGCTGCGTCTGTAGCTGATGCAGCACTGGTGTGAGCATTGCTCCCCCGTGCAGAGCGCCACATTCTTCTGGCAATGCACGTCTCCGGACTTTCTGGCATTGCCACCGGGGTCTTAGGGAAAAACCTGGAGGAGGCTTCGCCAAGAAGGCGATCCCATGACGCCGGCTGCATGTCCGGAGTAAGACGGGTTGTAACCCACTCCAGCATTTGCTGAGCTGGCAGCGTGTTGTCCCTCACAGCCGCCTGCAGGGCAGCAGCGTCAAACTGATGTGTCTGTATCTGAGGAGGCGGCAGATTCCAGTGACGTACTGGCTTGACAGTCGCACTGATGGGCAGGTGCCCGCTTTTCTTCCAGCTGCCCAGCGGAAAAGCCGCCAGTGGCGTGGAGGCCTTGGCAGTGCCTCCGGCTGACACCTCTCGCGTAAGCACAAAATCAATTTGTGTGCGTGTGTCCCCCTGTTGGTACGTAAATGATGGCTGAGGTCGCCACGTGTTGAGGGCCACCAAGCGGTGACTCAACAGGAAGTTGGTGAGCTCTGGTTCATCAGGTCGCGGTTCCTGTGGGCTTATGAGCTCTGGACCTACCAGCCTAGGCTGCTTTTGCAAGGAGCTATTGAAATCACCTGCGATGATAAGCGTGTCTCGGTGTGGCACCCTTTGCACACATCTGCCAAGAGCTTTGAGGACCTGTGCCCTGTCCTGACGATTGTTCTGCACCTGCTTGGCCGGTGACCAAACATGTTGGTATACAGCAATCAGGTGGATGCGGGCCCCGTGCCAGTCAAACCTGACCTCCAGGGTTCTGCCTATGACATGTTCCTGCCATCTCACACCTTTAGGTTGTATGTGTGGGGACAGAAAGACCATTACTCCGTCCGCGCGTGTGGTCGAGGGTTCCTTGCGGGGCGGATGGGTCTTGTCGTCATTAGGCATTGCCTCTGCAGGTGGCTGTATGTGGGCCTTGCCCCCGCGTTGTTTACGTCTAGAGGCTTTCGGATCTGCAGCAGAGGCAGACGAGATGCAGTACCAGCCTGAAACACTAAATTCAGCCGTAGCCTGCCAGTGGGTCTCCTGCAGCACCAGAACATCACAGGTGTGGCGTGCCTCAGTGGAAAGCCATGATTTGACTTCCGACCATTGCTGCTGGCCAAGGTGGCCTGCATTCCAAGACAGTACACGGAGGGGCCTGGTGGCCTGTCCTGCTCTAGACCGAGGTGCAAAAGACTGGGTGGAACCTGGCCGCGGTGGGCAGTTGCCCATGCGCCTGAGGAGAGCAGGGGTCATGACCTGACCTCGGTAAGAAACGGGTTGCTGGCTTGCAACCACCTTCCTGCAAACATGCTTGAACGAATTCTTCCTGATCTGAGAATAATTTTGTGAGTGCACTGGGAGCAGCGCCATCCGCTATTTCGTCACAAGGCAAGCCGAGTGACTCCCTCCACCACGCGGTTAGTGGAAACCCTACCGCCTGCCCAGTGGGCCCGTGTTAAGACAGGGTACTGGGTCCAGGAATTGGGACCTGGCGGCTCAGACGCAAACTGTTGGCACAAGGCACATGGCTCAGCGTGAGGAACCAACCCTTAGTCGTTCAGAGAGGGACCCGTTTGAGACCTCTAGCAACGCAAGGTTGGAATCCAGAGCCTGTTCGAAAGCCAGCGCGAAACTTCCAAAACGTCTGAGCCGTGGCGGCTCTACACCTACTACTACTACTACTACTACTACTACTACTACTACTACTACTACTACTACTACTACTACTACTACTACTTCTACTTCTACTTCTACTTCTACCTCTATGTACTACTACTACTACTACTACTACTACTACTACTACTACTACTACTACTACTACTACTACTACTACTACTACTACTACTACTACTACTACTGCTAGTCGTGCTACTCCTATCACTCCTACTACTTCAACAACTCCAGCAACTCCCACAACACCAGCAGCCGCTACTCCTCCTCCTCCTGCTCCTCCTCCTGCTCCTCCTCCTCCTCCTTCTCCTCCTCCTACTTCTCCTCCTACTCCTCCTCCTACTACCACTACTACGACGCTGGCTACTACTACATCCGCTTCTTGTAGTCTAGTGTGTGGAATGTCACTGCTTGTGCTCACCATCACTAGCAGGAGGACTGGTATGATTCTGTGAAAGCTGTTGTGATCATCAGTTTCGTTAGATATTCCGTCAAGAGGCTGGCCTTCAAAGAGTATTGTTGCAGGTGTTAGTGGGACACGGACATGGTGCCGTGGTCGAGTTCTGAATAAAGTCGCTCTTGATCGCAATGGTCTCTGGTCGTAGCCGCACAGTCCTCTCTCCACGTGTTGTAAGCTGCCTTGAGGGTGTGGCCAACCCTCGTGCCCAAGCCCTCAACTTTGATGCTCTCCGGTCCGCAGCCCCCCAACCCCCGCCCCCCGAAAACTGCCTCTAAACATGAACCGCTCAAAGCTTGTCTATAACCTTGCTGCTGCAGGTCTGAGGGTCAGGGCCAAGGCTGTTGGGCTGAAACCCTGCAAACTGTAAGCATTCTTGCTCTCCATGTCTGTCCTTTGAGCTCAAAGCTGCGAATTCAGACATCACCAAGCCCGCAGATGATGCAGATCTGCACCCGGAGCATGCTATTGAATCTCATGTCGGGAGCAGTAAGTAATTTGTTGAACTGTTACTCAGATGCCGCAGCAAGCAATTTAGCTCGACAGGGGCTAGCAACCTATAGCAGCTGCCCACGGTCACTGACAGCATAGTGCCAGTGCCACAAGTTTTGTCGCCAGCTGCATGTTCTCGAATGACTGGGCTGGTGGGCTTGCCAAGGCATGAGGGGATGGGGGACTCATTCCGATTTCGCAGCTCCGACTCACCTTTTGAATTGCTGCCGCTTCTCTCCTGGACCGCGCCGCTCCTGCTTGCTTGTTGGCTCCAGCTCATGTGTAGCCACTCGCAGGAACTGCGTTCCGACCGTAAGCAATCCATATCATGCCGCAGGAGGGGGTGAAAGCACTCCCTACTCTGCAGCTGGCCATGTTCGTGGGGTCTTGGATCGCCTCATGGGTGAGCTTGGCTTTCAATTCGTATCAGATGGTCTTTGGCCACGGTAGCCTGAAGCTGGACGTGTTGTATGTAGCCCCGGTCATGGTTCTGTTGCTGGGTCTGTTCATGACGAATCTCCAGGGGTACTTGGAGGAGCACGAAGCAGACCCTGCATTGGCCAAAGCTGCAGCTTGGGACATGGACATGGCCACGCCATTGGCGAGAAATCTGTGCGGGCAAGCCGTCTGCGGCTTGGAACCGCCTCAAGACCCGCCAGGCCCTGGGGCGGGGAGTTCCACTGTCCATGGTCTCCTTCTACCTGGCAAGCCGTCACCTGGTAGAAGCACCGACATGTCAGCTCGCAGCCAGCGTTGGCCGAGCTTTGATCCAGGGCAGAGGGCCCGAAGCAGTCAGCCTGCTTGTGCCAGCCGTGGCAGGGCACAGGCAGATTTGCAGTTTCGAGCTCCCCTTTGGAGGACTGGGATTCAACTGCACGCCCAGCGAGGATTTGAACCAGCCTCTCCTCCTCTCCCAGCTGCAGCAACCGGGCGTAAGCAAAACTGCATTGGATGAGCACCTCAACAAGATCAGGCATATGGAAACAACAATTTGGGATGCAGCGCACTGTGAAGAGTCGGTTTGGATGCTCCAGCCATTGCAGGGGGCGAATAGATGCGGTCAGGAATTTAGTGACCGTTGTCTCGACCCGAAAGTGGACCCCAGCCCTGGTCCATTGCAAGAGTTCAACTTTTTCATGAGATCCCAGTTGGTGCCGATACTGAAAGCAAACAGAAAAGCGGAGAAAGCTGCCCGAAGAATAGCAGCAGAGTCCCCGGACTCGTGGATACGCTTTGGATCAACACTCGCCTCGTGGTCCTTCATGGTTGATCGAATTGTACAGTTTCTGCATTCGGACCGGAAAGCAGTTGGCCCCGAAGAACTTGCTGGTGTTCTGATCACGTCTTGGAGGCAATGGCACACCCAGTTCGTAGTCGGCCTTGTGTCCTTGCTTATGTCGATCCAGCCGATCACCACCATGGTAGGTACAAGCCGGCACCTGAAGCCTTTTCAGAAAAGGCGCCTGTCGATCCACATGGTTCTTGACATACTAATCGTTGAGTGCGCAGCAATTTCAATCCTCAACGCCAAGGTCATTGTCCACTTCGGTAGCGGATGGTGGCAGGCACTGCAAACTGTGTTGAGTACCCTCAGCGATCATGTATTAAGCAGCCCCAATCCAAGTAGTCCACATCTCTCGAACATTTGGGTGGACGCCACAGCCGCGGGGCCGGGCCTTATCGAGCAGTGCGTGGATGGGATGAAAGTCGGTCCCGGCGTTTGCGCAAGACTGATGGTTTCGGTGCTGGTCATCTACATCTCTTCGACGTGCCTGCTCGGGACAAGCTCCGTGACAAAGCGTTTCCCACTTGTGTCACGCTGGAACGCGGCCGTTGGAGGGCCTTTCCAGGTCCTTGGAGCCGTGTCAGAGGACGAGGTTCACGAGCTTTGCGGCCGCGTTCGCTGGCAGATCCTGGTCAGAACGTTGCTTCTGAGTTTCCTCCTGGCTGTGTTTTTGCTGCCAGCCACATCATTTAGTGTGGGTATGATCACTTCACTGGTGCTGAAAGTTACAGTGTTCCGGGCCCCTTTCGTCATCGGATGGATGGTCCTAGCGGCATTGCACGTCGGCACGGGGATGTTGGTTGTGGAGGACATCGCAGAAAATCAAAGTTCAAGAAATTTAAGGCGAAGATTGAGAGGCATGGAAGCGGCTGAGGCTTCTGCAAGGTCGCATCCTCCATACGGAACCTTCGTGCCGCAGGCACAAGTCGGGTGTCCCGGAGCATCTGTGGAGGCCCCAATGCCAGAGGGTGCTGGGATGCACGGCCCACAAGCTCCGTCTCCATCTTTGCCGCCAGGCATTCGCATGGGCCCAGAGCCACAAGCCGGGTGGCAAGCAGCATCTGCGGAAACTCCATTTCGAGCGGGTGTTGGGATGCAGAGCCCACAGGCTCCGTCTCCGTCTTTACCACCAAGCAGTCGTTTTGGCCCAGATGGCGTCTAGCACCAAGCAAGACATTCAATACATACTACATATGGCAATTTGAAAACAAAGACTCCTTGTGCCTAGGGAGGGGTTTGAGGATCCACTTCGGCTGCGGCGATTGTCCGGCAGTCTGCCCGGTGCGTTCAAGGCATGCTGCCCAGCCTTGCGAGGGCTTCGGGAATCTTTATTCAGGATTTCACACGCGTTATTGTTATAAGGGCCGTGTTGAGTTTTGCCGGCAATGGGATTTTGTAGGAGATTTAAAAGGGTCTCGTTGCGAAGCGAGTTTGACAGCGATTTACAAAGCTTTTACAGTGGTTTTTGAGGTCTAAGATTGAGGTTTGGGGGTTTCGGGTGCAGGCTTCAGGATTGATAAGGTTTAGGCCTGTTGGCGTCTCGGGAGGTTTGGGTCCATAGAATTAACAGTTGTTGTCTGGTGAAACCTGCTGTTTGTCACGATTGACTACTTGTGGAACTCGGGTATACTGATAGGTTTCGTCTTATCCTGCGATCCATCATCTCGTCAACAAGCTATGACAGCGATGTGGCTGCCAGATGGACTCGAAACACCTGGAAGCCCTTAAGATGAAAAAGTCCCCGAAGCCTCAACCCTTTAGCAGCTCTGTACACCGAAGTGACCGGAAAGCCCAATGCCATAAAGCCCAATACGGAGCCCTGATAATGCAGTAACACTATCCCGCTAGAGCCCTGTTGATACAGGTGTACTTATACTTTCAACGTGCCCAGCACTGTGTAAATCTACTCATTTACATGTGTATCTACATGTATATGTATATGTATATGTCTATGTCTATGTCTATGTATATGTGTGTACATATGTGTATGTGTATATATATATATATATACATATACACATGTGTATATACATATACATGCACACACATACATATCCACATCTACACGGGCACGTACACGTACGTAACCATGCACATGCATAGACACATAAACATGCATAGAGACATACGCTACACAAATACATGCACGTGCAGATGCACATGACATACAGTTACACATACACCTGCACAACTGTGTACTTACATAATACATACATACACACATACATACATTCGTGCAGAAAGCGACATAAATATATATATATATATATATATATATATATGGAAATTTAAACTCATAGTTAGACACATATGCATATAACTCTGTGCATATCAATTACACGACCCCTACGTTCAAGCCCTTCTCATGTTTGGCCTTAGCAGGCCTTGCGTCAATCAGCAGAGCTGGGAACTGACAATTGGAAAAAATGCGGCTGGTTCCAGAATGTTGGCACATTGATATAGGGGCCTAAACAATTACCTATACTATTTCGGGGGGTTCCTTTTTATAGTTATAAGTTAATGGGCCCCAAAACCCCAAACCCGATTCTAATTACTAAGGCCCCTATGTTACGTTCCATGGCTGATAAGGGTCGCGATTATGTGCACCAGGTGTAACACGAATTGTGCCACCATCCTAGTTTAGTTGGCGATGCACTTACTGCTTCTTCTATCTATGTCTACATGTGCGATATGTAGCAGTTGCAGCTATGACTGTCAATATTGCTCTGATAGCTATTTCTTGGAGCCTTGCTATTACTACAGATGGTGGTGTCGTACCACTGCTATTGACGATGGCGGCATTGCCATACTGGTAATAACTGTTGTGGTGGGCTTGCCGCGCAACTCCTTTACTTCTTCTTCTAGCGCCCACACTCGCAGACCGCGACTACCGTTCCGGCTACTACTCTCACTGTTACTGCTAGTTTTGACTTTTGCTGCTATTACTGCTGCTAGTATTCCACCAGCTGTATTATACCCTGTTCTTGAAAAGATGTAGATGTTGGGACTGCTGGTGGAATATCACTGCTGCGGCTACTGCCTTTGTCATTATTGTGGATCAGTACTAAGGCTATGACTAGTATGATCCGATATGATCCGGCTCTTGCTGCTATTGAAGTTGTGACTCTTACAACTCTTCCTGGATTTCGTGTCAACCGTCGGAGTAGAGTTGCGCACTTGATTGGACATGGTTGTGGAGTTCTGAATAGGAATCCATGAACCCCGAACGTAGTCATGTTTAGCCGAGCTTGGCAGTCTTCTCTCCACGGGTCAGATGCCCGTCCTGTAAAGCTTTGCCAGTTGTCGCGCCCAAGCTCTATAGAAACGTTGTTCGCCGCACCCGTCGCCAAGTACACCTGAACTTGAGCATTTGTGTATGTATGGCTGTATTATATACATATATACACACACATATATATATATAGACATATGTGCACATGTCCATAAGTATATATACATATGTCTACATACTAACAACATAGTAAACAGCGTTACATGGTGAATGTGTGCCAAATTTTGTTGAGAGGATGTCAAATATTTCCTGTTTTCCCTCTAGTAGTTTATGTTGAGCTCTATATATATATATATCATAGTGTCTCATACCGTTTAATTTCGTAACAAGATACAGCACAATATGCTAAAATGTATCATAATGTGTCATATGACATCACGTAATGCTGTACTACATTATGGCCAACCATATTATACTATGATACATGTCAATGCATTGTCAGTCTACTATACTGTATTATCACTTTAGAATACACAATCTGCATTCCAGTGCTGTGCTCTGTTAGGTTTGGCTATGCTCGGTTATGCTATGTTATGTTGTGCAAAAGTACATTGCAGCATACTAGATCATATTGTATCACCACAACAACAATGCGTTGAATGGTATTGTGCTGTTGTTTTGCATTGCATTTCTGATTGGTGTCACACCATACAATATCATGTGGCATCATGTGGGATGATTTGTCATGGTTATGCTCTAATATCATAGGTATGTATTTATACATATATGTTTATATAAGCATATGTGTACATATTACCTGGCATGTGAACGCTTTTATTCTGCATATTTCGTTAGTTAATTAGCCAGCTATCTAGCTAGAAAGCGAGCTAGGCATTTACAAAGTTCGTTGGTTAGCTAGTTGGTTAATTGGTTAATTGGTTAGTTAGTTAGTTCGTTAGTTCGTTAGTTAGTTAGTTAGTTAGTTAGTTAGTTAGTTAGTTATTAGTTAGTTAGTTAGTTAGTTAGTTACTAGTTAGTTATTAGTTAGTTAGTTAGTTAGTTAGTTAGTTAGTTAGTTAGTTAGTTATATAGTTAGTTAGTTAGGTAGTTAGTTACTATAGTTAGTTATTAGTTAGTTAGTTAGTTAGTTAGTTAGTTAGTTGATAGTTGGTTAGTTAGTTAGTTAGTTAGTTAGTTAGTTACTAGTTAGTTATTAGTTAGTTAGTTAGTTAGTTAGTTAGTTAGTTAGTTACTAGTTAGTTAGTTAGTTAGTTAGTTAGTTACTAGTTAGTTATTAGTTAGTGAGTTAGTTAGTTAGTTAGTTAGTTAGTTAGTTACTAGTTAGTTAGTTAGATAGTTAGTTAGTTAGTTAGTTAGTTACTAGTTAGTTATTAGTTAGTTAGTTAGTTAGTTAGTTAGTTAGTTAGTTAGTTACTAGTTAGTTAGTTAGTTAGTTAGTTAGTTAGTTAGTTATTGATGTTGTTGTCTTTGCGTGCGGTTATATACACGCCTCGCAGGTCTCAGGGTGGGGGCCCAGGGCTTTCGAGCTGAAGGCTGGAATCCCCGAACCGGTTTGCCTTCTTGAGCTCAAAGCTGTGAGTTTCGTTGGCGTAGTCTGAGCCAGCTTGAACCTTCTCCCACTCTCACATTGCACAGAGAGGCGCGGAGACTGTCCGAAGCTTAAGACGCTAAAGCCGACCCCAAAGCAGCTGAAGCCTGAAAGACCCTGACCCTTAAGACTCCGGAACCCCTGAATCCTATCACCCCAGCCCTGAACCCTAAGACCTACATACACATAGGGCCCTTCAAATAGTCAATATATAACATACTATATAATTCCACCTGAAAAGCCTTTTCTAATCAGTAAGGGCCCGATAGTCGTTTGATTCGACAAGCATGCGCTTGGTCTCCCGCTTTGTGCTGCCAGCGGCCCTGTGTCCCGGGGACTCAGAAGATGGAACTTCCTGGGTTTGGACTTTTCGGGCTAGGTTTTGTGGCTAAGGGCTACGGATTTCGGCTTTAAGGTTGTGGGGCTCAGGGTAAGGAAGTGTCAGTGTTTCAAGAGATGAGAGCTTGGGGCTCAAGGAAACAAGAAGATACAAGAAGTGCATCTTCCGAAAAAGCCATCTCCCGGCAAAATTTCCGCTCGATCCCCAAACTGAACAGCAGACCATATGTCCCAAGAGTCATGAACATCCTATCAATCGGTTTTTGAGTCGGGCTTCCTTAGGTGTTATTTGAAGGGCATCAGGGAGGTTCATTCAGATTCAATCAGGCGGTATCGTACAAGCTCAGTCAAGCTGTGAACACGGGACCCCTGATTCATGAGAGCCATAATCCAGGGATCCCCTTTGTCATCCTGATCAAGAGAAGGGGGTTCACAAGTCAGGCCGGCAAAACCCTACAGCCTGAACCCAGCCCTTGCGGGGGTTTCCTCGGAATGTTGGGTAGTCACGGCTTCAACAGGGAGTTTCCACGGGGCTTTTTCACGGAAGCTGCGATGTTGGATCTCTTCCTTTATCAGACTTTCATGCACAAGACCCAACCCGACGGAATGCTAAGCCTATACAATGGGATGGTGCAAAGGGTCAGGCTTCGGCTGTGGGAATTGGGTCTCAAGTTTAGTGTTAAATACCCAGACCTCATGGTTGAACCCATGTCGGCTAGAGTCATCTAGTTGCGACCTTAGCAGCTTTAGCATGATGGCCTGGGGTCGTTGACCCTGCGTAGAGCATTCCTACAGGGCTGATCGACCCTCAACCCTCCTGCCTCCGCAAGTGGCTAGGAACCTTGACAGCACCTGAGAATACACCTGCTCTGTTTAAGTTCCGCGTACCTGTGTGTCAGCTTGATTTTATGGTCTTAGCGTTCACGGCTTAGCGGTTCGGCCACTGCTTCTCCAGGTACCAAATCGGAGTAATTTGCATCGT